TGGACAACCATGGGTGGTCATGGATGGTCTGGTGAAATGAACTGGTGTCTCCTACTTCTTTCTCTGGATTGAGAGAACCTTAAAACAAACGTGGCTTAAAATATAAGCCTGCAGTTGACCACATCAAGTGCCACCCATAACTAATTCAGTAAGTTGATCCAGTACTCGCATTCCAAAGGCTCTGCCTACATCTCTCCTGACAGGCCTTGGGCTGAGCCTGAGGACTCTTCTTTCCTGGAGGATCCCAGGAACCAGGTGACTGTAGCCAAATACAAGAAAATTGCAGCCCAGGTGCTGATCTGATTCCCCATACAAAGGAATTTGGGGATGATCTTCAGGTCTGTGACATCAGCACGCATTGCTGAGACCTTTAAGACCTTTAAGACCTTTGACTTCAAGCTGAGCAACGAGGACTTGAACACCTTACTCAGCCACCACAGGACCTGGAGGGTTTGTGCCGAACTACCCTTCCACGCAGAAGTGTGAAGCTGTGGAGGCCTTCACTTTCCCAAGCGACTTGCATCTGTCCTTCCTGCCTCATCTGTCCTTCCAGGCATAGTGTGGCCTGGGTCCCTCAGCACCGCACAGCACTTGCAGACCAGACACTGAGGATGTGTTAGCTTGATGTACACTCCAGAGAACAGTGTCAGCTCAGGTCTTTCCAGTCTGTCTTTCCTTCTCCTAACCCACCTGAGGATGTTCAACCTGTGCTCCCTTCCAAACAGAGATCTATAGTCAAAATGGCTGAGTCACTAACAGCTGAGTTTTGAGTGCTTGGAATTGTGATCTTTTCAATCAGACTTCTCTTTGCCTCAAATAAAAAGTGCTTTGGGGACTTAAAAAAAAAAAAGCCATCTATGACTTGAGAAAATATTAAGTGAAAATCCTACACAATACAGTGGTTTCCCTTTAACTGGAGTTTCATTTGCTGCTGTTTCAATTACTTATGTGGTTCACAGAGGACAAGACGTACTAAATAGGAAATTCCAGAAATCAATATACAAGTTTTAAGTAACTTTCATTAACAGTGCACTGTTCTAGTTGTTGTACTTATCATTGTTGCTAATTGCTTACAGTGTCTAATTTATGATTTAAACCCAATCATAGGTATATGTATATAAGAAAAAAGGGTTATACAGGATTTAGTTCTATCTATTGATCTGGAATGAATTTCCTATGGATAAGAGGGGAATAGTGTATAAAATTCAGAACTGGAAGTGATTTCTGAGCTGGGAAGATGGTTCAATAGGTAAAGCGCTTGCTACGTAAACATGAGGACCTGAGTTCAGATCTCCAGCACCCATACAAAAAGCTGGTCCCTGTTTGTAACCCCAGAGCTGGGACAGCACAGATGGCAGATCCCTGGAGCTGGCTAGCCAGTCAGTCTAGTTGAATAACTGAGCTCCAAGCTCAGTAGAGACTTTGTGTCAAACAATATGGTGGGGTGACTGAGAAAGACACCCCCATGTCAACCTCTGGCTTCTTCACGCACACACGTACACTGGCATCCCCATGTACATGTGGACACCCACACTGTGATTTGAGACCCCTCCCTCAACACACGCTGCACACATGCGCACACATGCACACGCTATTTGTGCTGTTACAAGCCTTGAGGTAGTTGTGTGGGCACTCAGAGCGTCTTCTGCATTTTGAGAACAAAATCCAAGTCTTTAGCCCAAATATGCCAACGTTTTGAAATAAAATAAGTGTCACAGAAATCAGAACATTGAATTCCAGTTTTACTGTCTCTGGTTTGGGGGCCAATTTTTCTTGGTCAGTTATGCAAGTTCCTAGTCATTGCACCCCAAATCCCTCAAAGCTCAGAAGGAGACAGGGAACGCACAGCTGCCTGTGAACGCTAGGGAGGGGCTGATGCTTTGGCTTAAAATATGTATATAATAAATCACTGATGCTGGCTTTCTATGCCTTTCCCAGGACCTCTGAGGAGGCCTTTCCTCTATGAATCTTGAAGTGAAAAGAATGCCTGAAAAAAAGAAAAAAAAAAAAAAAACAAACAGCTCAAGTTGTTCCAAGAAGCATACCAGAGGGTTTTCCTCAAATACCAAGATCAAGTATGGGGTAAAGGGACCCAGGCAGGGCTGCTGCGGCTCCATACTGCCCCCTAGCGGCAAGGCACATCACAGCATCCCACCCTACCCCTGGATCCATCTGACTCTTCCTGACCCTCCTTCTCTGCGTCCCAGCAGTGTCAAGCCGGGGTATCACCAAATACTTGCTGCAGTGAGTATGTTAGGAAACAAGACCACATAGTTCCTCTTTTCCTTTCTCCTGCCCAAATGAGGCTAGATGGCCATTCAATTGTGTAACAACCTTTTGTGGCAGAATTGAGCCTAATCTGTGCAAATCAAGCAATAGGCGAAAGAGACCTCTAGACTCAAGGTGTATCCTAGTAGCACAAAACATATCCCTAAATCATCCTTGCTGAAACATCCCATGCAGAAGCCCTCAGAAACGGCCAAAGCTGCTTGAAGGTGACTTTGAGTGGGAGAACTTGGGTAACGGCTTGCCAGTCTGAAGGATGGCCACTTGGGGCTTAAAGACACAGTGAAATTGGAATGAAAAGAAATGGCCAGCTGTGGCCAGGCAGAGCGGCAGAAGTCCCAGAAAATAGTTCTTGACATGCCTGAACCTTGTAACTGGATTCTTCTTCTCTGGGGTCACATGAAACAAACCATCTTTACTCAGGAGTGAGTGTGGTGGCCCTGTCTGTGGGGCAGAGCAGGAATGTTCTTTGTCATTCTTGGGGATGGGGTGGTCCCTTCCAGAAGCTCATGGACAGGCAAGGTGGCGTGTCCCCAGCGAGAACAAAGCCCAATCTACTCCTAAGGTGTTGAGGTGACAGACACGAGGACACTCATGCATGCAGCTACCACAGCGAATGCCCATGGCTCTTTTTCTGGTGACAGAAGGTACTTTTAATGGCAGCCTCGTTCTGGGCTACTTGTCAGGCCTTAAGTGGAAATTTTGAGGTCAACAGGCCTAAATTCGGAAAATCAAGACTGTACCTAAAGCTTAATGGTCTGACAAGAACAGCAAATACCCGCTGTCCTTGCTTCTCCTCCCTGCCAGGTGTGTAATTGGTTCCTTTACTTTTCCTAGAAGGCAAAGCCATTATCACAGACCACCTTAGGGAAGAGGTAAGCTAGACTGTATGTTCGGGCAACCGGCAATAAGTCTGCTCGGCGTTCAATAAATAAGAGATAATTTTAAATGAAGCTAAGAATTTGCTTTATAAGTAAACTGAACAAGGAAGAACAAAATTAATCCCAGGCCTCTATTACTTAACAATGCTTCATAAATATCACACATTATCTTCAGGGGCTGGAGAGATGGCTCAGCACTTCCTGCTCTAACACAGGACCTGAGTTTGTTCCCAGCACCCACATGGCAGCTCATAAACCATCTCCAGGGGATCTGATGTCCTCTTCTGACCTGCATGCACATTCCCTCTCATATTCCCTCTCTCTCTCTCTCTCTCTCTCTCTCTCTCTCTCTCACTAAAATCAATTTAAAAAAATGTACCTACATAATATAAGAATTAATAACTTGAGGCTGGAGAGATGGTTCAGAGGTTAAGAGCACTGGCTGCTTTTGCATAGGACCTGGGTTCCAACCCCAGCAACCAGATAGTGGCTAATAATCGTCTATAACTCTGGTTGGGGATCCAACACCCTCTTCTGGACTCTGTGGGCATTACAAGCCTGGGTACATTTACATATATGTAGGCAAAACATTCATACACATAAAAATAAATTTTAAAAAATTTTAAAGAATTGATAGCTTAATTTTGAAACTGGAAACTTACTGAAGGGACCAATAATTCCTTAAAATTTTACTTTGGACAAAACTACTCAAATCAGTATGATCCACAGAAAAAGCGTGTGATGGTGTGTGTGGCCCAATTTCAACAAACTCCAACTCCACGATTGTACCGGAAGAGGAAGAAGCACCCAGACCAGGCCTAATTGCAGATGTTTACGTAACTGGTAGCCAGAGTCCACAGACAATGAGACTGCTTACTCTATAGATTTTCACTAGAAAATGAGAAACAGCTAGGAATGTTAGCCAAGTTAGCAGATTGTTTACCTTGCATGTACAAAGCCCCAGGTTCAGTCCCCAGCACCACATAAACCAGAGGGTACAGGGTAAGTTTAAGACCAGTCTGAGCTACATGAGATACTTCTTAAAAAACAAACAAAAAAACTCAACGAAAAACAAAAAGAAAATGACAGACAACCCAAGTAGGTATCAAGTCAAGTTCTACTTCTGACCTTTCCCCACAGCACACACCCGAGAGTTTCTCTTGCTGAACGTATCATTAATAATCTCTTATCATAGCTCCAATATTGGGGCTAGAGAGATGGCTCAGCAGTTAAAGCACTTCCTGTTCTTCCGGAGGACTGGGGTTCAGTTCCCAGCACCCATAGGGCAGCTTACAACTGTCTGCAATTCTGTGATGCCCTCTACTGTCCTTTGCGGGTGATGTATGTAAGTGGTGTACCTATGTACATGCAAGCAAGCACTTATGTACGTAAAATAAAAAAACCCAAATCTCCAGTATTGACTTTGCCTGGTTAAGACTTTGTGTCTTCTTCCTTTTCTGGGTGGGGACAGGGTAACGGGAAAGTGAAAGACCGGTCGGGTGAAGTATGGGGCCCTGTTTATGGAAACCAAGTGCTCTGCAGACATTTTATATTTCAATAGATCAGTGACTGAAAATGTAAGAAGCAAGGTAAAAACTCCCTAAAACTTACAATTTAAACTTTTCAGAGAAATGCCATAAATATTATTTTTTGAGACAGGGTTTCACTATGTAGTCCTGGCTGGCCTACAACTCACTATGTAAATTTAAAGAGGAATTTGTGTTTAGCACACAGTCCTGATGTGCCTATTCATCCATCAAATTGCTGGATATTTAAAACAGAGAGACTCCCCGCCCCCAGTGCATCCCTGGGAGGCCACAGTCACTGCTCTCAAATAATGAGACAGACTGGATTCCTTTCTTATATGGCTTTTATAAACTACATCAGCTCCACAGTGAGTGTCTTTTAGAAAATGTCACCAAAATCAGAGGAGTTCCAAGATGAACTTGTAGCAGATGAGGGAAGGGTGGAGAACGTTGGAGACACAGAGCCACTGTCCTTTGTCCTCTGGGCTCCAGGGCTGGGGAGGACCTGCAGGGGCTGGCTGTAACAGCAGGGTCCGGTCCTATCTGCTCTGCGGGGCCCTGAGCTGCAGCTCTCGCTCCAGCTGCTCTGCGGTCAGGGTGCCCTGGATGGCTTCGCAGCCCGGGTTGAACACGGAGTAGGCACTCTTCTCTCCTTCCCTTTTCTCCTCCGGACCTCGGGTGCCCACGTACATCCAGTAGAACATGGACAGGACAAAATAAGCCAGGCCAAACTCCAGTTCCACAAACAAACCCAGCAGGACCAACCAGAGAAGAACCTTCAAGAAGGTGATGTTGGTCAGGAAAGACTGGGGACAGGGCGAGGTCGGAGGGACAGCTGAGCTCCCCCGGAGCAGGCGCGCGGCTTCCTAGGATGCACAACAAACAGATGTAAGTAGGGGAGGGTAATGGAGCTAAGAGGATCAAAACAAATCGAAAAAGGCAGTTCTCCTGGCTAGGCGGGCAGTGCCGGCTCATTGATTTCTGTTTCGTTGCCCTTCTCGCCAGAGAGCTCAGGCACCCTGCTCCAAATCAAAACTGGTCAGCACTCGCGAGGCTGACCCCACAAAAGCCCAACAGCCTTGAGATGGGCTCCATTCACCAGGGCCATTTCTTCGGATTAGCCGGCTGCTGACAAAAGCTCATTTGTGCCCCCAACAAAACCTGCTCGGTAATTGATAATGCAGCAGGCGAGGCTCGCCTTCCGTGCTGTCACAGTCAACACACGTTTGCTGATTTGATTAGATGAGCTAAAATATCTAGAGTGACTCGGTTCTAAAATGGAGACTACACCAAAAACAGGAAACAAAAATCCCTTTCATGTATTCAAAAACAAATCACCGCGATGGCCATTACCGGCCATTATAGGCATTACCATCCCACACCATCACCATGCTGCCCTCATCACTCATCCCCAGGCCGGCAGCGGCTCCTAACTGGACTCCCTGCCTCCTAGGGCTCCTCATCTCCAAGTCAGCCTGAGTACAACTGCTAAATGGATTTTATAAGTCATCATCTTCCTCCTGCCCACACATCCTCAGTAAGTGCCCACAGCCTACAGGTTAAAGTCAAGACCTCTTAGTTGGGAAGGCCAGACACAGGCTCCCGTTCTGGATGCTAACAGGAGAGCCTGGTGTGTGGTGGCTTTAGGGAGTGTGACCGCTAGTCCTCTAAAAGTTTTCAAACTTTTTAGGAGTATCTTATTGATACATAGTAAGAAAGAGGTTCCATACCAGCACATGGGTGTCAGAAACCAAATTTTTATGTCACCCGCCAACACTCACCTGTATTTCATATTCTTAATTTTAAAAAGATTTTTATTTATTTCTATTTTGTGAGCATGAGTGTTTTGCCTGTGAGTACATAAGTGTACTATGTGTGTGCAATGCCCATGGAGGTCAGAAGAGAGTGTTGGATCCCCTGGAACTGGAGTTATGGACACCTTAGCTTTGGGTGTTAAGAACTGAACTCTGGTCCTCTGCAAGAGCAGCCAGTGCTCTTAACTACTGAGCCATGTCTCCAGTCCTTAAGCAGCTTTTAATGGAGATAAGAGCCTCTGGGTTGCTTTTACCATCCATGGATGGTCAGGACTTAAAACTTGAAAAATAAGAGCCTAAAATGTTCTCGTACAACACAACCCACAATCCATTGCTTCATAAATGACCCCTCTATCCCAGCTTGACTAACCTAGACATCCCAAGGCCTAGAGCTGCCTCTAGGTCCTCTTCTCCCCCGACTCCTAGCCTTCCTCCGAGGCCAGTGCAATGTATGAACTGGGCATGATCTACCTTCCTTGGCTAGCTCTACTACTACCAGCATTTATAAAAGAGAGAGATGTCCATTTCAGATTTGGCCAGTGGGCACAATATTTGTCACCCCAAAAGAGGAGGACATCAGGTAGGGAAGGTTTGGCTTATCTGGGAACCAGAGAGACAGAGTGACTGCAGTGTCCTGGCCAAGGTGGGGCAGGATCGATGAACTGGTGGCAGGCAGGAGCCAGACCATTTCAGTCAGGTAAGCCACAGTAGATTCTGGAAATGGCAAACCACTGAAGGTCTCAATAGGAACCAGCACAATCCAATGTCCATTTGTGACACTCTGTCTGCCACACGATACACTGCAAGGGACCAAGAGCAGACACAGGGGCAATGTGGGCTGCTCACTCAGGAGGCCCAAGCAGAGGATCAGGCACTGATGGACAGAATGCAGTTCCTGGTAAGCTCAATCTACTTGACGATTCACAGTATAAAACACATCCTGCTCCTCTACCACCACTTACAGAGTGCCTCCAAGGATGCTTGATCCCCTGCAAATGTAGACAGTGGGATTCTTATGTCCAGTTACTGGTATGGAAACACTGAAGGGTTAAGCAGTTGCTCTTAAAGTAATAGGCAACAATAGCAACAGGCAGCTAGCAACAGGCAGAGATGAAATGTCAGTCCAGGATCTGGTCCCTCTCAAGCCCTTTATATTTAACTAGGTGCTCTATAGGGGATGGTAGGGAAAGGGGTTGGAGTTAGGAGATGGGAGGAGTTGACAGCCAACAAACTGGCAGAGGGGATGGTAGGGAAAGGGGTTGGAGGGACCATGGAGGTCAGAAGAGAGTGTTGGATCCCCTGGAACTGGAGTTATGGACACCTTAGCTTTGGGTGTTAAATGCCCATGGAGGTCAGAAGAGAGTGTTGGATCCCCTGGAACTGGAGTTAGGGACAGCTGTTAGCTGCCATATGGGTGCTGAGAATCAAACCCAGGTCCTCTTCAAGAGCAGTCAGTACTCTTAACCACCGAGCCATCTCTCTAGCCCACTCCCGTACTTTTTGAGAAAGGGTATCTCATTAGCATGGAGCTTGTCTACTAGACTAGGCTGGCTATCCAGCAAGCCCCAGGAATTCACCTGTCTCTCTCAGCCTTCCCAGCACTGAAGTCACAGCTGCTACAAGCAGGGCATGGTGGCTAATCCTAGCACTTTGGAGGCAAAAGCTAGTGGATGGATCCCTGTGAGTTCAATGCTGGCCTGGTCTACAAAGTGAGTTCCTGGGGACTCCTGCCCACGGTGTTGGCGACACCCAGAACCTTGGTTTGTTCGGCAAGTAGGCCCCTGGTTTTGTCTGTTTCTTTGGCTGCTCGAGGGTAAGCAAGTAGCCCCTTCCTCTGTCCCCTCCACCCTGTCTGTTGTCTTTATTGTTGGACTAGTTTGTTAGGTCAGGGAGGCACGC